CTCTCTACACATCACAACCTTCCTCTCCCCAGGAATGTACAGGAAACCCTCCCTCTCAGCCCAGCCAGGACCCTCAGTGCCCTGGGGAGCGACCGTGACCCTGCAGTGTGGGTCTGAGATCTGGTTTGACACCTTCCACCTGCACAGGGAGGGGTCACTGGACCCTCCCCAGCACCTTCGTCTACAGAACTCGTCCGCACCCTCTCAGGCCAACTTCACCCTCAGTCCTGTGACCTCAGGCCACCAGGGGACCTACAGGTGCTATGGCTCAAACAGCACCTCCCCCTACCTGCTCTCACAGCCCAGTGACCCCCTGGAGCTGCTGGTCTCAGGTGAGGAGCCTGACCCCGTCCTTTCTGTGCTCAGTCAGTTCAGGGCCCTGTCCCTAGGAGTGTGGGTGACAGTAATAAACAAGGAGGTGGAGGAGGTTCCACAGAGCAGGGTCCAGCCCACGAGAGAGTAGAGACAGACAGGACCTCCCTCTCCTGAACCCATTTCTGATCCTCAGCAGAGATGAAGGGTAGGGAGGTTGAGTGAGATGTGTGTAAAATGAGCATGAATGTGATTAGACTGAGCAGAGAACACAGACCCCCCCACCACCACTCACCTGCTGATGTCTTCATCTCAGAATCTGGGTGCCTGTAGTCCCAGCCCCCACTGGACACTCCCCTGTAGAGAAAAGCATCCTGTCTGTGGGCACCACACTGCCCGGCCCCCTGTGCTCACCTGGAGGCCTCCAGGCCCTCAGTGCTCACCTGAGAACAAGGAGGGACCATGCAGGCCTCATGGGGAACTGGGGCCTCCTACCCAGACTCTGCATTCCCCTCTGCTCAGTGTTTCTGTGCACACAGGTCTATTATGGCTCTTTTTAGAGAACCTTCAGGTAGTACTTCGGTCTATAAGCTCATGATTTAACTTACATAATGTGGAGTCCAGATAAAAATATAAACATTCTATTATTATTGTCTTTGGGGGTAGATTAAATTCCGACATTTGTTATGGAGAATAAATTCTTGTTTATATAAAGTCTTCTTATCATGCACATTTTCAAATGAGCTTTATGAATGAATTTCAGAAGCATTTTTTAAAATATATTTTATTGATTTTTTACTGAGAGGAAGGAAGAGGGATAGAGAGTTAGAAACATCGATGAGAGAGAAACATCAATCAGCTGCCTCCTGCACACTCCCTACTGGGGATGTGCCTGCAACCAAGGTACATTGAGCCAAACCAGTTCGGGCTTCAGAAGCATTTTGACAGCTATTTGTCAAACTGAGTAAGTGCACAGCCCACTGAGAAAATTGCACACCTAATATTGTAATTTGTGAGTTAGCGGTTGATTCCTGTAGATGTTCTAAATGGTAGTAAGTGCACATAGGAAAGCTCTTGTGTGGACATACTTACATCCTGACCTGTTAGCCTCCCAAAGATTCTCTCCCTGTAGATTGTTTTTCAGTTGATCCCTCTGATATAAAATTACAAGAGGCCCGATGCACAAAATTCATGCAAGAGTAGGCCTTCCTCTGGCCACCAGCAAGCACCCGGGACCCGGGCCCTCCCAGCCCCGGCTTCGTTGGGAAGGTCATCAGGAAGGACGTCTGGCCTAATTAGCATACAAAGTTATGCCAAGGCAAATCCATTTACAAATTTGCATTTTATATTGAAAGCATTGTTGGCCGCTTTATTGCAATGCGTTCTGCTATTTCATTAGGGTTTACTAGGAATGTTCTCTTTCCCTGACAGATACACATCCCACCATAATTATCTTTTCTCTGACTTTTAATCACGTGACACACATTACAAAGGCTTCTTGGTGTCACCATTTGGATATTAACCCAACTGAGTGACGCTGATCGTCTATGAGCATTTTCTGAATTGTGGAGCTGACACATAGAGTTATTGCATGGATCACTGTATGAGGAGAGGTCAATAATTTTGTTTATATCTCGAGTTTTATAGAAAATTAGGGCAACAGATTGACATGATTTCCTACTTTGGTGCTCATTCAATAATGAAATTAGCAGTATTTTCTGTGTGACTTAAAGTTTGAACTAGAGCCGAAACCGGTTTGGCTCAGTGGATAGAGCGTCGGCCTTCGGACTGAAAGGTCCCAGGTTTGATTTCGGTCAAGGGCATGTACCTGGGTTGCGGGCACATCCCCAGTAGGAGATGTGCAGGAGGCAGCTGATCGATGTTTCTCTCTCATCGATGTTTCTAACTCTCTATCTCTCTCCCTTCCTCTCTGTAAAAAATCAATAAAATATATTTAAAAAAAAAAAGAATGAATTTTAAAGTATTCTCTTCTCTGTTTTCTGAGAGTTTATGAATGATTGGTATATTTTCTTTAAATATTTGATAGAATCACCAATCAAGCCACAGAGACCAGGCTTTTCTTTGTGGGAAGATTATTAATTGCTAATTCAATTTATTTACTTGTTACAGATCTATTCATATTTTCTATAATTCTTGAGTCAGTTGATAATTTGTGTTTTTCTAGGAATTAGTCTATTTCATCTAAATTGTCCAATTTGTTGGCATGAAATCATTTGTTTTCATTTCCGTAGGGTCAGTGATTATGTCTCTTCTTTCTTCCTTGATTTTATTAATTTCTGTCTTCTCATTCTTCTACTGGGTTATTCCAGCTAAAGGTTTATAACTTTAGTTGATCTTTTGCTGGTTTCATTGATTATCTTCCTTGTTTTTCTGTTTTGTTTTGTTTGTTTAATTTATTTACACTCAAATATTTCTGAAGCTAATACAGTATTACAAAGTCTCACCTTTCCCTTTGTTATTATAAACTGCAATTCTAATCTATTCTGAAGATTTTTTTAAAAACTAGAATTAACTACTGAAATTAAACCAAAGAGAATCCTGGAATATGGTGTTGGTATTTGTGGATATACCTGCTCCTGTGATTCAGGAGCCCCTGACACCCACCCTCCTCCATGGACCCTGGGTCCCCAGCTGTTGAGAAGGTGGGATCTCTCAGCTGTAGGGGAATAAGCTCATGGGGTCTTGAGTCTCAGGCTCAACACAGAACACCCAGCTCTTAGTTATTTCT